CAGAGCGTGGCATCGATGTTGTTCATAAGCCATGAGAGCAAAAGAGAGTTGTTCGCATCGATGTTGTTCATAAGCCATGAGAGCAAAAGAGAGTTGTTCGCCTGACAATCTTCAAACAACTCGTTGTTGGCTGGAGGACACTTGATCGGACCATCCAAAAGACCGAACTTCTTGCGAGCCCGAAGAGCAGTGCGCATACTACGGGACCATTCTTCATAGTTGGTATCTCCTTTTAATTGAACTTGAGTAATTAAAAGGCCAGGATTATCGCTGGAAGTGATATCGTAGGGAGAGATCGATTTTCTGGGAGTAGTCTCAGTGCTGGGCCGGCCATGGCAGCGACAAGGAGAAGAAAAACGAGAGAGAAGAAAAAAAATGAAAAAGATTAGCCTGCTCTAGATACTATGACAAAGCTGGAAGAAGGAGAAAGATATTGAGCGAGACATCAATCTGATGATCTCGTATACAGCGCTCACATTAATATATAAAACCAATTAGGGTTACAAGAGTACACAAACTTGCTCTACAAGAAACTAACTAACCAAGGGTACAAAAGAGAAAACACACTAATATAATATTACATCAACAGAAATCGAGCAGAGAAAAATCAGCCACCTAAAACAGAAATAAAGGTGTGCACAAAGTACAATTAACTTGAAAGAAGCTTAACACTGTCCACCTACCATAGCCAACACATATCTAAACGAAACTAGCTCGACATCTCACTAAGTCTCCCGAGCAGCCCAATTATCCTATCGGGCCGGGACACAGGAGCCGGAGGAATGACCTCCTCAACCACACGGAAGATCTTTACGTCAAGCGTGCACATGTCGTGTGATCCACTTGCCAGGTCAAATACGCACACATCAAATTCTTCCAAGAAATTGTCCACCACAAACTTCCTCCAACCATTACAGAGCCCACCACCGTAACCTTTGTAGTTGTATTTAGCTACCCACATGTTCTTGTCACTCACCCGGAGCTTTACATCGAGGCTTTTCTTTGGTAGATGGGCCTTTGCCCAGTCCGCAGGGATCGACTGCATCATATATAACTTAAAAATTAATTGTGATGACAAAAAATGTGCATAATGTGCCTAAGAATAAGCGTTGTTTTAAGGAATTGAAGGCCTTTGTGGGAATAAAACTTCTAGAATTACCATTCTTTAATGTTTCTCGACTTAATATTTCATTGTCTGCAATATAACACAATAACTACACTCAAAATTTCTTAACTGAGTGAAATTAAAACGACAAGACATGTGATAGGAGGTAGTGTAATAATATATACATATATAGGTATATATATCGATATGTGCTAAAGTTTATTCATTGTTCGTGCAGCCTATTGACTCGAGAGCTTACAAGTTCTTTAAAACAAAGAAAAAATCTGAATTGAGGGATATCATAACAAGGTCAATATATATGAGTAACATTCTGTTTTATATCTAAAATCTAGAAATTTCATGGTAATATATGCATATCCAATTTGTGGTATATAATTTGTATGGACATTATCAACAAAAACAACTTTTATCGGTTATTTAGCTTTGTAAATCACAACCCCATTTTTCATTCTTCAACAAAGCATTGGATCTATATGGGGAACAAAAAAGAAAAAAAAAAAATTATTGCACCATAAAAATTACCATAAAGAACCCCTTGTATACATGCGATGCCCGCATGACCACCACGAAACTGTTGTCAGATGAGGCAGCAGCCACCGCCATTTGCTGTGCTCGGCTTTTCTCATATTCTGTCACCTCCCGTCTACGAGATTTCAACTGCAACCTGTACCCACTGCTCGAAACTTGTTTACTTCCTGCACCAAAAGAAGTTGAAAAAAACTATACTCAAGCAATTAAAAGGGCAACAAAATTAGAAGGGTGAACCAACATTAAATTTTGAAATAATTTCACAGAAACTACCCAGACAAGTTACAAATTTGGTCTTCTCATACTTTTCCCCTTTAACAGCAAAATTAATTTGAAAATTCTTACATTAATAAAACATTTTGGTCATACCAAACCTCATACATGTTTTGAAATTCTTCACTCAAACAATCACGCATGTTAGATAGAAATATATATGCCGCTTACTCTTCCCACGCTTTCGACCCTTCGGAGTAGATCGAGTTGTTCTAGAAGCTTCATTCACCTTTCGCCTTCTCACTATACGGTCACTAGACACGTCATCTTCATCCAAAGACTCCACGCTGTCTTCGGACCTTTCCTTCTCGAAGCCTCTCTTTGGCATGCTCCCTTGTATACTTTGTGCGGTGTGTTCACACTTTTTGACAAAGTAAGAGGAAGCTTTCTCACACAGGCTCTCCTGGTCGAACATCAAGACCTGGAAACTTGAGTTCCCACTGTATTTGAAGATCAATATATCGTTTTCCTTTAGCGAGTGGTCCTCGACGAATGATTTCCAACCGGTCTTGAGAAGCAATGTATCCCCATTCATCACCAGTTCCACTTTCCACGTATGGCCGCTTGGACCGTTCAAAATTACAGAGCCTGCCATTTTGTGTCTAAGATTGTCCGCAAACTTTTTCGGAATGGCCTGAGAATATTCACCAAATTTAATATCTGACTTGATGATAATGGACAACTAGTAAATTGTGATAATAGCCATAAACCAAGAATGCACAGTGCATTATTGACAGCATAAACAGAATATCACATTAGCTGCGAACATCTTAATATTAGCATTAATTTTGAAGGTTACATATGACTTCAAATTGGTAATTACAATTCGGAGTTCCTTTTTGTTCTTGTACGGATTCTGGACAATTTATTCAAGCAGAAAAGAAAACATTTGGCCAAATGGCTCACATGTGAATTTCAATTTCTATTTTTCTTGTTATTCTTTTAGTTCCAACGGTAAGTAAATTTCACTGACCATCCTAGCAGTTTTAACTCACCTGGAAGGAGATTTGAAATGCAGATGTGAAATCTACCAGTAAAATCTAGTGGTTGGCTCAACGTTAAAAGATCAAATGCAAATAAAGTCAGATGTGAAGATGGTGAAGACTGACAAAAAGAGGACACAAAAACTGAGTGAAATCTACAAGTAAGAAAAAAAAAAAAAAAAAAAATGACACATAAATCAGATAGAAGAAAACTGAAACAACCCAAATTGATGACGCTAAAGGAGTAAAGGGCACAATAACCTTGCTGTAGTAGTAATGTGAAAGATTAGAGACCAAATATGGCATCTAAATTCCGATTCCCACTGATTCAAATTAGGCTTATTACGCATTGCAAGCTTCAGATTATTATTATTTGTAACAAACAGGCATTAAGGAGCTAATGACCCCAAGGAACCAAAAAAAATTAAAAAACAATTGGTGAATTAAGAAAAACGTTAATCTCATTTCTGAATATGGAAATCAGTGTTCTAAAAAGTTAAGTTGCTAAAAACCCAGATTAACACTGTGGAAAAAATGGACGGCAAAACATAAATCATCCATAAAAACAGAAAAGTTAAATAAATGGCAGGGACAAAGAGACATGCATTGCAATTTTACTCACAATTTCACAGAATTACCAAAAGATCTGAATACAGAAGAATAATAATTGAACTCACAAGTTGCTGATCAAATCTCCCAGAAAGGAATTGACAGAATTGAACAGTCTGGAAGTGAGACCAATACATATTTTCTTCTCTTTCTTTGCAATCCATGCAATCACCCACCATTTTTCCGGCAAATCTGTAACCAATAAATAAGATTCAACAGCGAATTAATTGTTCTTCGGGGTGAACACAAGTGAAACACCCAAAAAAAAAAATGTAGAAGAAAAATGAAAGCTCTACAGAATTGAAAAGTTTTCTTACATGGCTGAGAGCAGAATCTTCGTCTAAATCAGCAATTAAAAAGATTGAGGGATTGCATTTTCGTGCGTTGGAGAGTGAGTACAGTGGTTGAAGGTTTGTACGTAGTAAAGCAACTTTGGGTGTGGTGTCTGCCCAATATTTCTTAAGCAAAATGCTATATTGTAGATAATATTATGTACATAACACTCACATTGAGTGTGACCTATAAAAAAAAAAAAAAATCAAGTGAACCACAATCCATGTGTGTTATGTACATATCTATGTACATTTATTATGTACATGTAGCATTTTCTATTTCTTAAATCGGACTGTCTTTAATTAACATAAGTATTTTAAGAATGAGTGTTGTCTCAATTACTACTTACCGCCTCTCTTAAAGACTATTTTGACCTTTTTTTTTTTTAAAAAAAACCTCTCACCTCTCTCTACACTCTCACTCTCTCCACACGCCAGCTCGAGCCCCGAAAAATTCCAAAAACACTTTCGAAAAATTCCGGGGAGAATGTTGTCCGACCAGATGCGTTTTGAGGCGGCCGGCGATCGGGGCCGTTCACGGTCCAGTCGCCCTACTTTTACGGCCTGGCCAATGTTGGCCGCCATAGGCGACCGACCAGCCCTTAAAAAGGCATAAATTCCGGCCTGCCGGAATTAGCCCGACCGCGATTGCCGGTTGCAGCCGGCCGGAATCGACCGACAATTTAATAATTTTTTATGAGTTTATTAATTTTAATTATATTAGTATAAAAAAGTTATATTAGTATAATTAGAATAAATTATATTAGTAAAAATTAGAAATAATACTAGTACGAAAAAATTATATTAGTACAAATTATTATGTTACAGATTAGGATTGATTATCTTATAAATTAGAATTTAATATTATTATCTAAAAGTTAAAAATTATTGTCATATATTAGAATTGATTGTGTTATAAATTAGAATTTATTACTATTATGCTAGAAGTTAGAATTGATTATTTAATAAATTACAATTTACTATTATTATGTTAGAAGTTATAATTGATTATCTTGTAAACTTATTAACATACATCGTAATATATTGCAAAAGATTTTGGAGGAGATGTTTTTTATTACAAACATGCTTTCACTACAGATGAGCTATTTGATAGTTGTGAAAAAGCTGTTGAGTGGGAAAAAAGTTTGGCAATTATATATGGTTTCCAATTTATCATCTAGAAAGAAGGAAAGGAGAAGGTCTTGAGGTGTAATCGAGGGAAACGTTACAGATGCAGTATAGGAGATTTAGTTAAGGATGTTTTCAGACGTTCGAATAATAAAGCGTGCAAATGCCCTTCTCATATAAAAGTCAAACTGGTGTAAGAATCTACAAAATGGTGTATTCGGGTACCTTCTGATGCTCCGAAGGGAATGCATAATCATGCAATGGCTGTGTATACCGAGGGTCATCGACAAATGAGCGGACTTAGCGCTTCATCTAAAGAGATTATCCGTGACATGACTGCTGCTCAGGCAAAACCGGCAGCAATTTTGGTTGCAATTGAGGATAAAAAACCCTGTAGACAATGTTACTCGCAGACATGTGTACAACTATAGAGATAAATTGCAGAGAGATAGTTTGGAGGGCAGAGATGTGGCTACCTAGATTCTGCATTTGGCTACAGTTAGCAAGTATATAGTTGTTGTGTCCATTTTTGTTGTGATTTTCGTTATTGTTTTATCATTCTTTTTTTCCCATTTTAGATCGTTAAGTTGGTTTTTTTAGTTTGTTTTGTGTTTTATTATGTGTTTTGTTCCATTTTGTTTTTTTTTTTTTGTGTT